GGGATATGGCATCCATACCCTGGTTAACCTTGGACCTGGCCAGGTGGATGTTGTGCCACTTTGTTGGTGGCGATGCTGCTTTCAGGCCAGGGGGTTAGATCTCTAGTTTGGGTGGCTGGGCCCTCGTTTTCAGAAGAAGGGAGTGCACCAAACAAACAAAAACATCTTCAACGAAACACTGTGTCGTGTTATTGGAGAAGACTATGACTCTGAGGGGCACTGAGGGGCCTCCAAGATTTTGGAAGCTGGTTCCTCCGAGGGATATGGCATACCCTTGGACCTGGCCAGGTGGCTGTTGGTCCACTTTGTTGTTACTGGGGCTACCTTTCAGGCCAGAGGGGTTCGATCTTTAGTCTGGGTGGATGGGGCCCTTCTTTTTTCCGAATGTAGGAGCGCGCCAAACAAACCAAAAAAGTCTTCAACGAAACGCTGCGTGATGTTATTTTGGAGAAGACAATGCGCCCGAGGGGCTTCCAGGGTTTTGGACGCTGGGTCGTCCGAGGGATATGGCATACACTTGGACCTGGCCAGGTGGCTGTTGGTCCACTTTGTTGTTACCGATGCTGCCTTCAGGCCAGGGCGGTTCGATCGTTAGTCTGGTTGGATGGGGCCCTCGTTTTCAGAAGAAGGGAGTGCACCAAACAAACAAAAACGTTTTCTACGAAACACTGCGTCGTGTTATCTCGGACAGGACTCTGCGCCCGAGGGGCGTCCGGGGTTTTGGACCCCTCTTTTTGTTTGGAGGGATATGGCGAGGGAATGCGAGGGATATGGCCTGGCATAGTGTTTTCCACTTTGTTGTTACCGTTGCTGGGTTTGAGGGATCTTTCGTCGGGGTGGCTGGGGCCCTCGTTTTCAGAATGCCGGAGTGCACCAAACGAACAAAAACATCTTCCACGAAACATTGTGTGGTGTTATTGGAGAAGACTATGACTCTGAGGGGCACTGAGGGGCATCCAGGGTTTTGGAAGCTGGTTCCTCCGAGGGATATGGCATACCCTTGGACCTGGCCAGGTGGCTGTTGGTCCACTTTGTTGTTACTGAGGCTACCTTCAGGCCAGAGGGGTTCGATCTTTAGGGCCCTTCTTTTTTCCGAATGCAGGAGCTCACCAAACAAACAAAACATCTTCAACAAAACATCGTGTGATTTTCTTTTGGGGAAGACTATGCGCCCGAGGGGCATCCAGGGTTTTGGACGCCGGTTCCTCCGAGGGCTTTGGCATACCCCTGGACCTGGCCGGGAGGCTGTTGCTCAGCGACGCCAGGGTTTTAGATTTTTCGTTTGGGTGGATGGGGCCCTCGTTGTCAGGAGCTCACCAAACAAACAAAAACATCTTCAACAAAACACTGTGTGAATTTACCTTGGAGAAGACTATGAGCCCGAGGGGCCTGGGTTTTGGACGCTGGTTCCTCCGAGGGATATGGCATCCATACCCTT